CTCCACCGCGCTCTGCGCCTCCGCCCCCGGCGCGTCCTTCGCCGCCGCCGTCAGCCGCTTCGAGTGCGCCGCCGCCGTCTGGGCGCGCGCGGGGCGCTCGTTCGGCGCCGCCGAGCTGAACGCGCTGCTCCGCGTCTTCTGCGCCCGCGGACGCGTCGCCGAGGCGCGCGCGCTGTTCCACCGGTACTGCGACGCGTACCCGCCCGACACCCGCACCTTCAACACGCTGCTGCTCGGGTTCAAGGAGGCCGGCCACGCGCAGGCGCTCGACCTCTTCTACCATGACGCCGTGCTGCGCGGCTTCGTCCCGGATGCAGTGTCCTACTGCGTGAGGATGGACGCCTACTGCAAGAAAGGCAGGTTTCTGGACGCCCTCCAGCTGCTCGACGAAATGCGCAAGAGGGAGAACTGCAAGCCGACGCTGCAGGTTTTCACCACGCTGATATACGGAGCTGGGATTGTGAGGGACGCGGCCCGTGCACGTCGGCTGTTTGACGAAATGGAGCAGTGCGGAGTGACTCCGGACCGTGGAGCTCACAATGCGCTCATGGGGGCCTATGTGAGGGCAAGGGATTTGCAGTCCGGGATGGCGCTCATGGGCGAGATGGAGCAGAAGGGTTTTGGTCTGGACGATGTCACCTACAACACGATGCTTTGTGGGTTCCAGAGGGCTGGTAACTTAGAGGGGATCTGGAAGATATATAGCAAGATGATTGGCTCAGGGTTCATGCCAAGAACCAGGACGACAATGCTGCTCATGAAAGTCTTCTGCGAGAATGGGCGACCGGATCTTGGGCTGGAGCTGTGGGATTATCTGATCGGGAAAGGATGTGTACCTCATAGGCATGCATTGGATGTTCTGGTTACCGGTTTATGCTGCAGAGATGTGGTTGGTGAAGCATATAGGTGCTTCCGGGAGCTGGTTGAGATGGGAATGGCACCTACAGAGCGCGCATTCAGGGTTTTGGAAGGGTTTTTGAAGAAGAAGCGGGAGTTTGGGAAGATTGATGAGATTAGGCAAATGATGAAGGCAACCCAATTGGAGGAGCATCAAACTGAAGAAGAAGCTGCGTGAAGCTATCAACCCTCTTGTGGTCCCTTTTGAAAAGAAACGTGTTTATTTCTTGGACAATGTAAAATTTCCAAGCCTGCGTGGTTTAAGCAAAGGTCTCTGTTTATACCCTCTGATGTCGAGGGTGAACTGTTGGCTGTTGCAAAGAACAAACTTGCTTTTACTGGGGCAAACAGGGAATAAAGAGATAGGCTTGCAGTGACCTAACTCGCTTTGACTGGGACAAACAGGGAATAAAAGATGGCCCCAAGCCGCCAATTTGAGAGAAATATATGTAGATTGGAGAATCTTTGAGTTGATAAAGAGTTTGAGACACTGAGAAGGAATTTTTGTGGAGCCAGGTGCCACTAGAGAAACTGAAGATTCCAGGTCTGCAGAAAATGTTTGCATAGCCTTTGCCATGGGAATGAATGCACTGGAAGTCTGAAAGTGTTGTCACTGTTGTAACAATGGTCGAAAGTTTTGTTGAACTATACCTTTCAGATTTAACGGTGAAATGAGTTTTCTTCTCTCCCAGCCACATAATTCTTGTACATAACAACTGTATTAGTATGTTTAGTATTTCACTGCAGTGATTCATTAGAACTAAAAGACTGAAGTACTGACATGGAAACGTAATCACAAAGCTGAATATTGTCTTCCTTTGATTGATGCACAACTGAATTTATGTCTCTACTCTGTCAACTGAACAGCCAGGATCGATGGTATTTTCTCTCTCAGTTTTTGGGTTACAGCTACACGTACTGTCATTACACCTGCTGCAGGTCCACTGATTTGAATCTTGACGACGAAACCGTCAATCTGAACAAGCTCAAGGCTTCCACCTCCGGTGCCGGAAAGGTACGGCCTGATCTCATCTAGCAGCTACAACATTGGACAAACTTCAGATTCACAGTTTGATCAATAAAATATGCATTTTTGTTCAACAAACTACCTATGCTGTAACAGAAATTTACAGGCTCAGAAAAGAGACAAGTGGCATGCACAATGGAGCATTGATCAGTGAGTGAGCACGCAAGCATGTGGCTGACCTTCTCGACATTCTCTGTGTTGAGCTCAAGCCCGGTCTCGGTGTCGTGGATCTGCTCGACCTCAAGGATCTCAGGGATCTTGTCACGGAGGCGGGACTCGATTCCCATCTTGAGCGTCATGGTGGAGCTGGGGCAGGAGCCGCAGGCGCCCTGGAGCATGAGCACGACGACGAGGCCGTCGATCTCGTGCAGGGCCACGTTGCCTCCATCCCGCATCAGGCTCGGCCGCACCTCATCCAGCACCCTCTCCACGTTCTCCTCCGTCAGGGGAAGCACCCGCACCGCCCACCCTTCGGGTATCAATCAATCAACGCATGGTTAATCCTACAATTCTAGCAAGTACTATGCTGCTGTAGTTGGATTCCTTTGTGCGCGCACCTGCTCTCTTGGTGCGGTGGTTCGGTGTCTGCAGTGACGCGTGGCCGAAGCTGAGACGGCCATGAATAAGGGAGCTCGAAGAACTCTACGCACAACAGCACAAGTAGGATCGGTCGGTGCAGCAGCGGAAGAGGAAATGGTTTGAAAATAAGAGGGTGCGGTGGGTGGAAGTACGCACCTTGCCGAGAGCTGCTGCAAAGGGGGCGTTGGTGACGCCAGCCCCGGCGCCGGGGCCTGCGGCGGCTTGCCGGAGATTCGGCGAGTAGAGCCTCATCTGAAGCCGATTTTGCTTGCTACTAGGTGCGAGGGGTTTGCGTGGGGAGTGTGTCGTGGATGTCGAGCCAGCCGTAGGCAGGCTCACCCGTTCGTGGTTCCTTTTCGCTTCTGGAGAGGATGTGGTTCACCTTTCACCAAGGTGAAGGTTCGTTGGGCCTAATGTGGCCCATCGTCTCCGGGGCCTAGGGCCCATGATCGAACTGAAAAGCCTGCTGAAAAGAGGCGTCTGTTTCTCAAAAAAAAAAAAGAGAAAAAGGTAAGAAAAGAGGCGTCTAGACTCTGCAAAACAAATCCCTAAAAGAACTGCATCCTGTCTTTGCACAAAAGCAGTTTTTCACTGTGCAGTATGTGTAAAGCGCAAAAAATGGCGGAACCCAGTCCATCTCAAACTAGACCAAATCATTGATGCGCTTACAGTTTTTTTCTGTCTGCAAAAAGGTTGAGCACTCATTCTCAGAGTAGAGAGTTAAAGGGAACCATCAAGCATAGCATGACGACGGTCACAGATAAGATACCCATATCACCACGCCCTGAAACCCACTTTGCGATCCACTCCCAAGCGAGGAGCCAGCAGAAAATTAGGCCGGGAAAGGTCCAAAAGGCCACCAATAATCTATGCCCAAACCCGGGAGCATCCAAGGACGTATGTGAACACCGACCGGGACAGGGTTGCCACGGGGTGGTGGTGTGGTCCATGTGATCCGTCCGTCCAGCCAGTTTGACGTTGTTTGTGCTGGCCACCAAGCGCGCACACAGACGCACGCACACGCAGTAAGCTCATTAAGAGATTGCCCGGACGACGAAGACAGCGAGGAAAGGGATCGGCGGCAGGTAGCCTGTCGGGCGGGCCTCCGGGGCGAGCGCGACAGTCGCCTCGCCATTATTTGGCCGCTGCCCGCTGGTGCTGCT